ACATAGTTGCACATCAACTTAGTTCCAAATAAGTTACGAGCATATACGTGTGTTAGTGTATGCGCATAATATCGATATCTACATATTCTACACATACACGTCATACGTACATAAATATTCTGTATATATAAATGTTCATATAATTATTTCGATAAAATGCTTCACACACTTAAACAACCTCTACTGTTCTACCCCTTCCCCCCATCCCTCCCCCCATCCAAACAAACCAAATAACATTTCGATATCCACCACTTATAGCTTCAAACACTTAAGCAACCTCTACCGGGCTAATCCAAGTCATGGCCCGGATGACACGGGGTAATTAACTTACAATTTGAATTGGCAGCAATAACATTATACTAATCGTGCGTGTTTTTCTTCTGTGTAGACAATGATCGACTGTCTGGCTCAGGATTTTTCATGCGCTGACATCACTATCACAAGCTTCAGGTTTTGGATGCTACAGATGGGTCTGATGGACAAGATCATGGGAAACTGTCCGGACCTGGAGACAGATGACCTCAGGACTTTCACCACCAAAATTTTAAGTGAGTTGTAAAAAAAAAGGAAAACGTGATAGTGGAAGAAAGGAGAAAGAAAGGAAATAAAGGAAGGAAGGAAGGAAGGAAGGAAGGAAGGAAGGAAGGGAGGAAGGGAGGAAGGAAGGAAGGAAGGAAGGAAGTATGGAAGGAAGGAAGGAAGGCGGGGAGAGATCAATAAAAATATAACCAATTTGTTTATAACTAAAAAGTAACCATTTTTTTCAGACAAGAGACCAGACCTGGTCGTGGATTCCGTTGGTAGGTTTTCGCTCTTACTGCCGTTTATATATATATATATATATATATATTTTTTTTTTTTTTTCTAGCTTATCTTTTCATTCGATTGTGCATATGTCGTTAGCGATTGCTAGGTTGACGACAAAACTGGATCAAATTGACATTGCAGTGCATTGTGCATTGGGACATATTTCCAAGATGGCGCCCATTTTCGTCCCTCAAAATCATCCCCAACATGCAATCAGTGCCAACTCGACCCAGGTTCTCCCTGAACTCGGAATGACTATGGTACGCTAATAAAACCTTTCCATCGACGGGGAAAATATAAAAGGATTTTTAGATAATTTATTATCAAATTTATCAAATTATGAATTCAGTGTTGCTCACAAACCTATTGTATGACTTTACGACGTTTATTGACTAACATCAAAGACAAAGACGAACCGTTTTCTCGCTGGACTCTGGAAATGACTTCCACTCAGGTTGCCCAACGTCAGTCACCATGAGTGTAGTTTTGAGAAAGACTGTTTTTGGTCCAGACGATCACACTTCACAACTAACTCAACATCTGACATGGTTCAAATCATTTACTATAATAATTCATTATTACTTATATAGCCATATTTACAATAGAAGATCGATAGCGCTAATCCTGGACATTGGTTGTTTTTTAAGCAAGTAGATTTGAAGAAACCGGGGGAAATTAATAACAGTCATCAAAAAAGCTTTTTTATTTCGTAAGCATGATTTGTTTTCATTTTTCAGACATGGATTCATCTTCTCCATGCGCCAGAAAGATTCACAACAGATGCGTGGAATATTACGTGAAAACACTTAAACGAACTCGCCAAATTTGCACAGCAGTTCAGGCTCTGAATTTGTGCTATAGCAAAGGCATTGTAGACGACAACTGCCAGGCAGACATCATCGAGCATTTTGCTGATATCTTGCAGAAGGTAGCTCCGAGGGTGATAAACATCTTGAAAAACAATTTGCCTAAGGTGTGTGAGGACTGGGTCTAGGCGAACTAACACGTTACAAGAGGATGTTGTACAAGTTACGCCTAAAAATAACCTTAGTTTATGAAAATAGCTGTAGAAGGATTGCAAGCATGTATGATTGATTAACACGGTTCATTAGACTTGAACTAAATATGAAGCAAATAACTGTTGTGTTGGACTCTTGCTTGAACCATCTCCATCTGTCTGTTCGTGGTACGACAGCTTGTTATCGCTTCCTCATTACCTATCATAAAATACTACCCTTTTCATTCGTATTCCAGTCACTCCCCTATTTCAAACGATTCTTTGTTAAAAGGTACCACCATATTAATGTGTCTTCTCAAGATTATAACACTTCTAAAAAGGGTTTTGGGAAGCGGGAGGGGATATTAGGGTCGTTGCATGTGTAGTCATGCAAAGTATTGGATTTTTAAAAAACGCATCGTTATTTTGGGCAATTTTTATGCTTAAGCTAAGAGAAGTCTTGTTGACAAGTTTGGTAGATGTGAGACAAGCCAAAACAAGATTATTGTGTACCAATACACGACTGAAGACCCCAAAAAATCATATTCTGAAGCAGCAGCAGCAGCAGCAACAACAGCAACGACACTACCCATGTAGTACCACCATCACCATCACCACCACCACCACCACCACTACCACCACCACCAACAACAACAACAACATCATCCATAACAACAACGACAACAACGACAACAACGACAACATCAACAACAACAACAATAACAAACGACAACAAATAAAAAGATATAACAGCAATAGCAAAAGTGGCAGCAGTTTTATTGTCAAGTCAATATCACCATTAACAACACTGGCAACAGCAATAATCCCGAATAAATATTGTTAGCCTAGAATACAGACGATTATGGTAGTCGTCGACCAACTCAAGCCTGAGGGGCAATCGTTATAAATCACTGATGCAGTTGAATGCATAATAATATCTCATGTTTGTCTTAATATCTTCGAAATTGTTAACTGAAACTTTCCGTTTGTTTCCAATTCTTTGACGCACGGGAGTAGGGTAAGGCGAAATTTAAACTGCATCCGGATTTCTAAAAATAGTCCAACCACGAATTCACATGGAGCGCGCGATATTCAGTAAGTCGTTTTCCTATCGTTTTTATGCTTTCCTTATCAATATCATTATAATCATCTACAACTGAGTAGCAACAGCTGCAACAACCAAAAACAAGGGCAGATCATCATCCATCATCGACACAACAGCAACAACAACAAACAACGACAACGATGATTTAAAGAAGAGAAGGAGTACACGGTCCATTCTTAACGACGTTTCAAGATAGAAATAGTGAAATTTTGGTCTCAACATATAAACAAACATCAATATGCATGTTTGCATAATCAAGCCATCAAACGTGAACATATTATGTAGTTATTGAATTAATGTGAGCTTAAATTTATGCTTTGAAAAAAGATTTAGAAGTCAATTTGTGTTTGTACTGTCTTAGGCGGACCGCAAAGTAAATAACAGTACAACATATTTTCTTCTTTCTAAAGAATATTTCTGTCCTGCAGACTTTCAGGTGCAGCTGTGTTCAAGTTGGCGCCAAGATTAGCCCAAGGCTACTATAAAATTGGACGAAACTCACATATTAAACTGTTTTCCTTCGACTTCTTTCGGGTCATTGAGTTTTTCATCTCATCCTTCTAAAAATATTTATATATCTAAGAGATATAATCTTTATTGCATCCGTCAGTTTATTAATTATCTGCATGGTCGATACATGTGAAATAGCTTTAATGCACCAGACATTTTGTCAGTGGTATATATACACTACACATTAATTGCTAGTCATCCTTATTCATCAGCAATATGTATGAAGCAGGAACTCTCTAACGTGTACTGTTAGCTTTATTCCTAGTCTTCAGTTCTCCATATCTGCAGTTTACCTTATTGAACGTCAATACTGCTACGAGGTAAGTACTCTTGTTTGAACTTCAATATGCACGACCGGTACCCTCTGAGGGAAGGCGAACGAAAAAAAAAAAAAAAAAAAAAAAAAAAAAAAAAAGACAACAACAATCACAAGTGCGTTAGTGAAATGGGGAAAAAAATATGATTTTACATTTAGGGATGATCTTTTTTATGTATTCCTCTCTTGTCATGAGTAGTTTAAAAGATATCGAAACAGCAACGAAGTTTTCTTTCGTTCACTTTATTTTTATGATATCCATCGAGATATATGCCATATTTTCAGGATTCCTTATGGCACTATATTTGGCAGAGCTATAAATTCCTTTCTTTTCTTTTCTTTCCTTTCCTTTCTTGGCCGTAAAAAAAAAAAAAAAAAAGATGGCTTCAGTTTTGATAATCTAATCAAGAGCTAATTCCTCATCTTATTTTAATAACAATAAGAATTGATCGGAAAAAGGGGTTAAATTATAAGGAAGACCAAAATATCTATTTATTCTTTTCTAGAGCAGTTTTCACCTATGGTCAAGTCACTAACAATCAACTAATAGAATAAAGGGGTCTTCGAGCTGAAAAACGTACGTTGAAAATAACTACGAAGTACACAAGTCTCAAATTCGACTTCAAATTCGGCCATTTGAAACCCGACTGAATAAAGCTTCCTTTAAAGAAAAAGCTTCCTTGTAAGAAACTCGACAAGCAAGATGACTCAAACGAACCGCTCTTTGAACGAAACTAGTTCGAATTTCGTTGATAAAGAAAGGGGCATCTTTTGGTGTACATCGTTTGGACTTGTCGGCCTTCTCATATTTTCTTCCAACTTCGCCACTATCACTACGTTTGTTGTCAATAAACAACTCCGTCGCCATGGTATCTATTGTCTTCTTAATTTAGCAGTTGCCGACATGCTTCTTGGGGCCTTAACTATACCATACTACATTAATGATATTGCAGGAATATTCCTACAATGGAATCTACTTGAACCGCAAGTCTATGTCGTTGTCAGGGGTTTCTACATAACAGTGTTGTTTGGCTCGTTATTTTGTCTAGTTGTCGTATCTCTTAATCGCGTCTTCGCGACATATTTACCATTCAGGTACCGAACAATGAAATTGAGAAGCCATTTATCTATCTTCGCCATCACTTGGGCTTTAGCAATAGCCGCATCTGTGGTCTTCTTTCTGATGAAGCAGTTACAAGATCAGGTTGTATTAGTATTCCAAGGTCTTTTCGTGATGGCTTTAATAATCATTATCATGTCATATGTGATTATTTTAATGAAGGTGAAAATTAAAAATCAAGTTCCAACGACATCGCTATCCCAGTTACGTGAACGACATCTTGCAATAACAGTTTTTCTGGTGTCGTTGTTGTCAATGACAACATGGATCCCTTCTATCGTGTTCCACGCTATTTACAAGACACAAACTAGTGGATTCAATATAGACCTTCAACTATCAATATATTTGATCCACAGTAGTAACTCACTGGTCAATCCTGTTATATATGTCTTTAGAATGAAGGACTTTAGGAAAGCACTTTGGAAGCTTTTCACGTCTTGTATGCCGGCGGACAGCTCAATCACTCCTCCTACAAGCCCCGGTAACGTCGAAAGCAATAATAACCAGGGGGCTGGGCAAACGAACAAATGTGTGTTAAGCTTTAATAACGTTGTTTTTGACACTAAATTGTAAGGAATTTGTCAATGAATGGGTTGTAACAAAGTAAGATTACACTTTTGAGAGCAGACAACCTAACAAACTCAAAAATTTCACTGACTAAAATGTAAATAAACTACATACAATGCTTTCTTGAAGCAATGCAATACTTGATTATACTTTTGAGAGAGATATGATCAAATCAAACAATCTCACTGCATGGCAAAAAAGTAAATAAACTGCACAAAATACTTGCTTATAAAAATACAAGACTACACTTGAGTAAACAAGAGTAGACAACCTAACGCTAACAACAACTTTAGCTCCTTCGAACTGGAAAGAGTAAACAAACTATATAAAATACATAAAATAAAAAATGTGTAGTTTCGAAACTTTTAAGTAAAAAAAAATATAACCCTCCTATTAAGTCAATGAACAAGGCAGGGTCGTAGCTAGACCGAGTTGGTTACTGAGGAAAAGAACGAGCGGCGAAGGCGTAAGCAACTAGGAGTGATTTCCAGAGTTTTGGGAAGCATTTGCGATATTTTACTAAGGCAACGGCCTCGCTTGCCTCGCAGTGGCTATGGCCCTGTAAGGAAACAGCTTTCATTAAATTAAAAAGGTTTCGTTTCAAACCTTACTAAGGTTCAAATTATTACTGATGACTCCCCCCCCTCCCCCNCCCCCCCCGGAAACCCTAGCCCTCTGTCCTAATAAAAACCGTACCTTCCCTTGGTTGATATGAGGCATGTAATATAATCGAGATAAAATATTATCGTAGTATTTATTTCATGCCATATAATCATATGCTCTAGAGGTTTAATCAAAAACCCGAAAGTTTGAAACTGGTTTTCTGTCGATCTTCCATATAATCTTATTGCCTTATAAACATTCATAATTAATTAACAAATTAGAAGGCATAAACAACTACGGGTGTTTGGGCGATTTCCAGAGTTTTGGGAGGCATTCGTGATATTTTACTTATATTTTTGTTTGAAACTTGTTTTCTGTTGATCTTCCATATAATCTTATTGGCGCTTTTTTTTACATGCATAATTAATTAACAAATTAATTATCATTAGTTTCAATTCCAGCACGTTTCAATTTGGACTCGTTTGCACCTGTGTGTTATTCTAAGAGTTAAAATTACTTTCACTTTAAAGGGCCACTTGGACGAAAATCGCTACAAAATTAAAACTCTTTCGTTCGAGCTGGAATTTTGCTGAAATAATCTTGAATACACTAAGAACCACTCACTGAAATATCTTTCTGATATCGAAAGGAAAGGGCCAAAATTTTACGATTTATTTTCGTCCGCAATTATTTCTTTGACTCACAGAATTCGCCTCAAGAGGAATGGCACGAGTAACGTATGACGTCATTTACTCAACCCAAACCAAAACATTGGTGGCTAAATGTATGTGCCATGTTCGTAAAACTCGGTTTATTGGTTTATTCAGAAAAAATATGTTTCACTTGATTCCTTAACTTCTATATGACCAAGCAATGTCTATAGGCGCTGAAATTTTCAGTTTCAATAATACTGACGATCATAATTCGAAAATTTCAATACATCTCGGCACGCCAAGAATCACAACAAAGTGGACGCCTGGACGAGATTCTAGCGGCTCCATCGCGCGAAGTGACTGGAAGATTCGGGATTTATTCGAACCATTTTAAGAATAACAACTTTTCAAGGTATATTTACATACCCCACAATTTGGGTCCGCGAGACATCCGACACAATGAAAGAAAAATCTACGAGCTGAGTGACAGACGCCGCTGTCGCGCGAGTAATAAATAAGAAACCTTTAACATGTTCTTTTACAAAGATGATATTAGATAATCGTATGTTTTTACCTATTAAATGCATAATAAACATTTTGGAGCAAATAATAACCGTTCTGTAGCAAATCAGCTAGGAGAATTACGAGCTCACATTCTAAATTATTCGGCACATAGATCTAAGTAATTGTCAAAAATCTTTATATCACAACGCATAATTCAAAAGGCAATCGTTTTTTTTTCCATAACATGATCAATAGCTGTTAGATTACATTGAAACTTCGAATTTAAGATCTTTATATCATGGACAGTATGTAGCAAATACAAATAATGAAATGAAAGTAAGGAATTCTTATGAAAACCTCTTCCCAAGCATTGCTTCTTCTTCTAGTTCGGCTTCATCTTCTCTTTTATACATGATAACTTCTGGTTCTAACTCTTCAGGATTGACAAAGCGAGCGTCCAAAGGACTTTCCATCATATTTGAAAAGGTATCAAAGATTTAAAAAAGTCTGTTTAGATTTTCTTTTCACGATAACGCGTTTAAAACATCAAATAAACTTCAGGTAATTTAACAAGAAATGTATAGTCAAAACGACGCTAACATGACGGTGTTRAGTAAATGACGTCACAGCGTAAAACCGCTGTACATAATAACTCGTTGGCCGTGAGTCAAAAAATTAATGGCGGACGAAAATAAATCGTAAAATTTTGGCCCTTTCCTTTCGAATAT